CCTTAACAGTCCTCTCAGGATCCTCTGTGGCATAGCATAGGCTCCGGAGTGGCACGCTTTTGCACTCATGTGTGAATCAATCTCTCTCGACATTTCCTGGTGCCTGTGCACGGACAATGCAGAGGCCGTAGGTGGTAAAACAGGACTCACGGGATTCACGAAAGGATTAAAAAATCATTTTCAGGAAACGGGCTTGGTCTGGTTTATTGTTGTCTGGAATATGAGATGCGGTAGAGGACAGAGTTGTTCAAATGCAGTTTTTAAAATCGATCAGTATCTGGGGATTTTTATTTCTTTTCTGTAAGTTGTTACAGACTCCAGGCTTGATCAGAAAGGTGTTAATGATAATTGCATTGTCCTCTATTAGACATTGGTCCTCTACCATAAAAAAACGAATTAACAATGAATTTCGAAAACAAAACAGAATTAAAAGTTAACTAAATCAATAATCCAAGAAATTTCTAATATGAAATCAGTATTTTTATAGTTAATTATTCACGTAAACTACACGTTACCGTTGTCCGCAGTAAACAAGCACGTGGTGTATGATTTGAAAAACGAAAAGAAAGTTTTTTTTGTTTATGTGGTGAAGACATGATTCTTTCCATGCATAATCAGAAAGGACCTGTGAGCAAGAAACTTGTTAAAAATAATCACAATGCTGTGCTTTCATTTTTAAACGCCTGAAGGTCGTTTTGAGGAGGGGGGGTCGGAAAACAAAATATTTTTGATCATTTTGATCTTTAAACCTTGTGTCTGTCTGAAGATTGTGTGATTAAATCCCACCCGATTGTCGGATTATTCCGCAGAACGCGAGTGGAGAACACGATTCGTTTGAGCCAGTTCAGCCTCGTCGCCACCAGAGGGCAGTAAAATTCAAGAAAGAGCAGGAATGTACTGATTCTGCAGCAGCCGACAACTGGCGCATACTCGTTGTATCCCCGGTCCACAAAAAGAGCTTCATTTAATTAGGGTGGTTAAATACGCAAGTTTTAGAAATGCCCTGTAGAATTTGCACAGCTCCTTTAAATATAGCACTTAATATAATGCAATTTAAGACACGCTGTCATGCAGAACAATGTTAGTAACATGACATACAGAATGTTAAGAAGCTGAACCCAGAATCCTAAAATAGTTGCCTTTCTTAATTGCTGGAATCAGTCGTTAGGAAGGACTACCAGTGTAACTATACAGTATTTTAAGACATTTTCTGAGGTTTTCCACTTGTAAAACGTGTGTTCGTATTGCTGCTGTTTCTCACGTTGTCGTCTCGCACTTTCTTTAACTTCACCAGCCACGCTTTCCCATGATTTCACCGCGTTTTTTCCCCGTTTCTAACATGATCGTTAGGGGGCTCGTTTTAATAATGGCACTCGACGCACCCCGTCTCCAAACATCGTCCGGCGCAAAACGAGTTTGAAGTTGTTACACGGTGTAGCAATTAATAGCCATCCCACTGCCACGTCTCAGGTTCATATCTAAAAATACGAGCTATGTTCACACTAGCCTGACGCTCCAATTCACCCCAACGGAGAGGGAGAAGGTGTGGACCGTTTGGGACACGGCGTCCGAACAGGACGGTCCAAGGCAAGTGTAGTTTAGCAAGTGCTTCTGGATTTTTCTGTATTTAGTGACTGCGTCTAAAAGAGAAATATACGAGAAGAAGAAAAAGATTATTTTCCCGAAGAAAATCCCCGGGAGTCCAGAGATCAGGAACACGTCCAATCCAGGAAAATGAATTTTAATTAAAGCAAGCGCGCCGGGGGTACAGAAGGCTCAGCGCGCCCGCAGTTTACCGAATACCGAGTCAACTCCAGCTCCTCTTCAGAATCCCCGGCGGCTAGACGGAGGATGTGTTTCTGGCAACTGGCAGGACAGACCTTAAGCCCGTCTGTAATCAGATCTGCTCGGCTCCCTCGTCTATTTAAACCGCTTGTGCCAGATCTCTGCACAGCTGCGTCAACAGAGCGCTCACTGCCGCGGCCCGTACTGCGGCACTACGGGTGAAGAGCGGTGCGCTCCTGTGGCGAGGTGGCTTTTACCGTCTGGGTTGGTGTGGGGAGATCCCAGCTCCTGTCGCGCAGGCTGTGCAAAGCCCCTTCGGACCGATCCTAACAAATGCCGTTTGAAACTTAGTGTTTTATTTATCTTTTGTTTTGTAGCGTTTAAGACGCTTCTTTTACTGACCAAACTGGTTTCAAAAGGTCAGTAGACGAGGCTGAATGAATCCGGCAAACCACGAGCGCTGCAGCAGCGGTCGGCAGCGCGTTTTCCAGATTCTGCTCGAAACAGAAGCGGTTTAAAACAAGGGGAGAAGGTCAATTTGTGGTCCAACAGGAACATTGTAATTAGACACAGGGCTCTTTAGACAGTGACGCTTTCTAAAAAAGAACTTGCGATGGACGAAAATAACTTGCGATCCCGGACCACTGCCGGAGACCCACTTGTGTCTTTTCAGTAAAATATCACGCTGTTACACCAACCCAGTGACAACGAGCTTCATTTCAGCTGTTGTTCCTGAGAGTACCGGGGCCTCCTCTCCATTACTCAAGTGTCCGGTTCTGAATGGACGGGGCACTTGTGTGTAGGAAGGGGTATTTTTATCTTTTCGGGGGGTAGAGTGTATTATGAAACAGGAGCCTAATGACAACTGCATCTGTCCATGTCAGTTTGCTCCGCACACAAGAGGAGCACAGCGCAGGGCAGCGAGGAGGTGACTGGTGAGTGAATGACATGATTAAGTTGGAGTGAAGGGGGATTAAGGTAACGGATTCTGCAAAGACACCCACCACACAGCTCAGACTGAAGAGGCAAGTGTGTTATGTTGTTGTTATTATTAGGCTGTGGCTATCTTGAAAGAGGACAGTGCATGTGACCGATCAGAGATGGGGATTATTAGGAGGCCATGACTGGTAAAGGCTAGAGGGAAAGTTGGCCAGGATGTCGGAGTAACACTGTTACTCTTTTGGAGAAACAAAAAGGTGGAGCAGTGGCTCTGTGGCTCAGGATCTGTGCCTGTGGCTGGAAGGTTGCTGGTTCAAATCCCGCTGCCAGCAGAGGAATCCTACTCCGTTGGGCCCCTGAGCAAGGCCCTTCACCCCAACTGCTCCAGGGGCGCTGTACAATGGCTGACCCTGTGCTCTGACCCCAAGCTTCTCTCCCTGTCTGTGTGTCTGTCTGTGTGTCTTATGGAGAGCAAGTTGAGGTATGCGAAAAGATGAATTCCTAATGCAAGAAATTGTATATGGCCAATAAAGTGATCTCTCTTACCTTATAACCTGGAATTTTTAATGACCACAGAGAGTCAGGACCTCGGTTTTATGTGTCATCCGAAGAACGGCGTCTTTTAACAGTATAGCGTCCCCATCACTATACAAGAGCATTAGGACCTGCACAGACCACAGGGTGAGCGCCCCCTACTGGCCCCACTAACACCTCTTCCAGCAGCAGCCTTAGTTTCTCCCACTCAGGTACTGACCAGGCTCACACCTGCTGAGCTCCAGTGGGCTGCCAGCTGGGAGCTGCAGGGTGATACAGCTGCTGGCGACACTGTACGTAGGGAGGAACGTGCTCTGACACAGGAACACTGCTGGGGCGCGCTGAAGGGTGGCTGTCGTGTGACCGCGGCCGCGCGGACCCCTACCTCACAGCACTCCATGGCGTCCGGGAGGCGGCCCAGTTTCCTGTAGGCGACGGCCATGTGGTACTGGCTCATGGCCCGGTACTTCAGGCTCCAGCCCTTGCCGTAATCGTTCACCAGCTCCGCCGCTTTGCACGGGAAGAACAGGGCTTTCTCGTAGTCCTGCGGGAGGGGAGAGAGCCCAGGGAGTGAGGGCGAACGAGGGAGCTCTCCTACAGCCGACACGCAGCAGATAGACGTCTAGAGTCTTGTAGCGGTTCAGGCGGGGATCTGCGTCAGCATGCGTAGGCTGCAGAGGAACAAGTAATAGGTTTATTCCCTGGTGAAAAAAAGAAGAAAGAAAACACAACGTTTCGTCCATGGTGTGAGCACACCCAAGAGCCTTCACACCTGAAGAAGCCTCCACGGCCGAAATGTTGTGTTTTCTTTCTTCTTTTTTTCAGCATGGAATAAACCTATTACTTGTTCCTGTAGAGTCTTATAGGTCAAGCCACGGGAGAGCAGCAAGGCTTACAACCCCAGCTTCTTTTATTCTCAATTACTTTTGGATTTCACAGGGCGATACCACTGCAAATAGCAGGAAGAGGCATTTCCGATTCCCCACGCAGGTATTGTTGACACTGAATGAAACCTTAGTGAGCGCAAAGACAGGGATGATAAGACACCTGAGATATCCCCTGGAAGATCACAACAAGCTTGTCTGCTGCGTATTCAGCGAGACCTGAGCTCTCTGCAAGGCGCCGTTCTTCAGTGCTCTTCAGGCCTGCGTGCAGACGGGTAAGCTTGTGGGGCCTGGGCCTGCGGGCCGCGAACTGAGCAGTGCTTGTGTGCTCAAGGATGAGCTCCGTCTTGCACCGAGACAGCTGATGACTGAACTGAGAGCTCCGAGGAATCAGAGAGCATTGTTGAGCCACCTGTCTGCCCTCTTTGTTTTGCTCTCGGAATTAAACAGATTGGAGCACGCCGGTTGCTTTTCTGTAAAATCGCAAAGGGAAGGCTCTGAGACATGTTTTGTTTTGGCTGGCCTCCATTCCTTTACCTTAACAGAGTGCCTTCTGTGTTCACAAGGGTGCTCTGCTATCCCCCCACTGTGCCAAGGCATGCTGGCTGGGATAACTGGCATCTCTAAATTGTCCCTGGGCGCAGGGTGGCCATTTGTCTGGGTTTATGCCAGACAACCCAGATTTTAGAGGCTTTGTCCTCTGTGATGCGAAGCCAGATATGCACTTATCCTCCTTTTGGGAGACTCGCAAACTGTTACCCCAGAACGGGACAACTTTGTTTGATTGAACAAACTTGCTCATATTATTGGTTAAAGCATTTATTTAATGAAGCGCAGGTTTGTACTGGTCCTACAAATGGCAACAAAGGCCATATTTGGCTTTTTCCTGTGCCTGTATCAACACGTTGGGGTGCAGCCACTAAGGTGATCAGATCAGTCATTACATTGATGTCTATTAACTTCCCTATATGCCAATAACGAAAAACGTCATTCAACCCATGGTGGTCAAAAGAACAGACATTTCTAACTAACAGTAGAAGGGGTGACCTTCTTGGATTCTGCTGTGACACACACTTTAGCAGCCAGAAGAAGGAAAATGTCATTAAAGAAGCATAAAGTTGCAAAACAAAATCACTATCCTCTGCTGTCTGGGTGTCTTTGTTGGCCACCCTGACTGTGTGCCCTGGAACAGACTCAACCCCTGCCCTGTGCTCCAGGCTGCCACTACTAATAATGGCAGGACAGAATAATATCATCACGACCTGTTTTTCTGAGAATGATGTCTTTCAGTTTCCTTCCACCATCTCTCCCTGGGGGTGGAAACATACCCATTTTCAACCTTTCTTTCTGAATGAGTTTTCCCTGCGATGGAAATGCAGGTGTCTCATCTTAGAGGAAGGATCAGATGATCAAGGCCAAAGTCTGGCAGAGTTATCTTCTGTAGGGGCTGCAATTTCCAGACTTTCACTTTCTACTTCAACAATATGCAGTACAATGTTGAGTACACTTCATCGTTTAAAGCATTTACAATCAGCTATTATTGCACACATACCCAGTTTGCCCAGTTTTTTTGTATTTCATGTTGTATGCTGCTGAGACCAAGATAAAGACATGGATGTCAAATCTTCTCCATAGAAGCTTTTACTAAAACCTGCCTGCTGTAATATGTGGTGTCACCCTGTAGCAGTGACCCTAGAGCACACTGAGGAAGGCTGGTGTTAAAAAAGAGCTCCCATCTTTCCTGTCTTCCTGTTTTAATAGGAGTGAAAATAAGAAGGGTATTCTTGTAGGGAAATGTTCCGTTTAGACTTTAATATGTGGCTGCGAAACGAAACAACTATGTGTCATGTGTGAGATTCACAGAGCCACGCAGAGCTCAGGTCTTTAACTCCACTGTGAAATCAATTAACTGTGAAGCCCTGATTAGCACCAAAGCAGACATTGACAGATCACTCCCTGAGATCTGGGACGTCACATTGGGAGTTTCGAAGGAAAGGCCAAAGCCAAGAATCGGTTTGATTAAGCATCTAGCAGGGAGCAATTCCCCCTTGTTAAAACAAAATATCAGACTGCAGAACAGAATCCAAAAGACAATAACAGAATTATTTGACAGCTTCGGTTTTCTATATATTTTTAGTGACTGAAAGAAAGGTGACCTGTAAATCATGTATTGCTAATTTATTACCAAAACACAGCTTTTTTAAATCAAAATAGTTATACCTACAGTACATATATACCTTATAGATCTAAACATCTATATTTATGTACATCTAATATATGTTTTTTGTATAGATGCAAATAGATATAAAATATGCCTGCATACAGGTCTATGCATACTTTTTATCATAGGTCCAAATATCTGTAATATATATCTGCATACAAGTTTATGCAGGACCAACTAGCTATAATATATACTTGCATATATACAGTAGCTGCATACAGATCTACAGTATATAGATTTTATAGGTCCAAATACCTATAACACCTGTATACAACTATATATATACCTTATAGGTC